TAGGCGCCATTTTGTTTTGCAGCAATCTTTCTTGGTGCGTATTGGCCAGAGTGGGAGCAAGGCAAAAAAAAATAAAAAAAAAAAAGAACAACAGCAACAACAAAAGAGAGAAAACCTATAGGTAATAATAATAATGAATAAAAGTTTTTCCGGTCTTCATTGTGCCAACCAGTAGTCAAAGTTTCGTTCTGCTAGTTGAGCAAAATGTGAAGAGGCCGAGTAGTTGTTGGCTGCTGGCCTGCTTTATTGCTCTACCTCGGAGTGTTGGTGTGTGTGTGTGTGCGTGTGTGTGTGCGTGTGTGTGTGCGTGTGTGTGTGTGTGTGATTGGTGGGTGTATTTCTTTGCGCTTGTATAAGCAGCGCGCCTCAGTCGCAGCGAATCGAAGCTGAACGAAACTTTAGCGATTGTTGTTGTAGTTGCCTCGTCACGGTGTGTGGGAGTAGCCGTAGTCGTAGTCGTAGCCCCTTTTCTAACTGATTGCGCCCACCTACTCAACGTACTCGCGTAGAATTATTTGTTATTTTTGTTGTTGCTGCTGCTATTATTATTCGTCGATGAGCAACGTTTTCTTTCCTTGTCTGCAACGTTGATTGTCTGTTTGCTTCACAACATTTTTTTGTGTTTTTTGTATTTCGCCGCGAATCGTATTTGTTGTCTGCGTTTTTGTGTTTCCACTTTGATTTAAGTTGTATTTCCCCTCACATGAGTTTGCTCTTTTCTTTCTTTCGTTGCTGTAGCTTTTTTTTCTTTTTTTTTTGAAGGCACTTATCTTTCATTTAAAGTATTTGTTGCTTTAGCTGCGACGTGTTTTATGCATTTCCATTGGTCGACTGCTCAAGCTGCTTAAGCTGTGGGGGAGGCAGCAGCGAAAATAAATAATATTTTATTGCATTTATTTTGTTGTTGAAATATAATTCATAAATTGTGTTTAACAGGTACTTTTTTTAGCTGAGTGATCAATTTCACAATAGATATGGCTACATTTTCAACATTTTTCATAACAAATACAAGTGTATTTCAATATTCATTCAATTATTAATTCGATTCACATTTAGTTCATTTATTTGAAATTATTATTATTTTTGTTTTGTGGAGCGCTTTTTAGTAGATATGTATCATAATGGCTTCATTGAAAATATTCTGTAGGTTCGATCGATGGTGGTCGGCCACACTCTTAGACCTGGAATCTTCAATCCTTTTTAGTCTTTGGAGTGTTGTAAATAGTATCTTTTATATCCATAATCCACAGTTCAAAGCCTTACTCGTACGCACAGATTAGTGCCCTCATTTTCCATAAGTAGTTGCTTCACTGAGACTTTCTCCTTGTACACTGTAGTGAGCTGGGTAATCTTATCTCCAGGTCCGGGGTGTACACTCCGACTATCCTTTGAAGCTTGGAGCCGTCTGTAAACAGCGTGTACGAATCCTGTGAATCCTGAATGTGTAATCCTTCTCGAAGGTTACAGTTGATGTGGGAAAGTCCATGTGAGTTGGCACTCCAGTGTGCAAACGAAGCATTCTAGCTCTTTAGATATGTCGATCCATGCATTAGCCTGTCTTAGTTGCTTGCGCTCTCCCGACGATTTATAGAGGTAGGGAATAAAATATTATAACTCCTCAATAATAAGCTAGGAAAGTTTGCATTGTTCTATGTTTTTATTGTTTTATAGGAATATACAGAGTTTCAACAAGCATTATTGAAAAGAATTTCATAAAATCTGCATAAATTTAAATACTAATCATACCTACTTTTGTGCTTATATAAAAGTCACAGCATTATTAAAGAACTCTATTCAGTGCACTTCAGAAATGTAATATGCTGTTTTTATGAACATGCTGAAGTTTGAAAAGTCCAACTTCTTGCCTTTGGCATAAACAAAAAGAAAGCAGAAACTTCGGCCTGCATCGGTGCTTATGGCTAATCAATAAATCACTTCAAGGTTTTCTTAATTAAAAGTTTTACGTAGCTAGTCGACCACACCATGAATTCCCGAACACACAACAGACCATATAATAAACTTTTTACATAGTCCACCAAAAAGGAGAAAAAATGCAAGCCAAACCTAAAAATTGATTAACTGCCAACAACCACAAAATACTAGTAGGAACCGATGGCAGATGAATACACACACACACACACATACGCACGGATTTATGTATAGCCACAATAGCAAAGTTTCGAACCCTTACCAATAAGAAAAAGTTTCGAGCTAAGGCAAGAAAAGTGCGCTGGCAAAGATGAAGCAAGGAGTCTGCAGTTGAGGACGAGCCAAGGACAAGAGCAGGCGACAGCACGTTGGCCCAACTACTCGTACTGTGCACAAAAACTGAAAACTATTAAGCGCTTAAATCAAGCAGAAAATGACACAAAATAGTTTCCAAACTGCGCTGCATGGGAATCTGAGGCAAGTAGCCTGGTCGGACGGTGCGGGGAGTGTTAATTAAGGGATGCCTGGGAATGCTTCAAAAAAATGCAAAGAATTGAAACAAAAGTAAGGCAAGCAAATCAAAATTGAATCAAGCTAATTAGCGTGACTGGCAAAAGGCTGAAGGAACGCTTAAGAAAAAACTTTCTTTGGCGACGACCACAAAAAAGTGACAGAAGAGAGAGAGAAGGAAATCAAAAGAATTAAATGCTCGACCCCACTTGACAGGCGACCAGACACTTGAGCTGCGGTTTCTTGCCACATTTCTTGGACCCATTTGTTTGCCCATAAAATATTTACGAAACCCCACGCCCTGCCAATAGCAATGCAAACAATGGGAAACCGCTAAGAAAAAAGGTAAGGCGAACAAGCAGCTGGAGGAAAGCAACTGGCAGTCAACCTTTTGTCACACAATCCACAAACACACACACATACACACACACACTACAAAAATCTGGGTGTCCCCCAAAAACTGTTACTTCGAGCTATTGACATAATTGTGGGTGGCATGGTCATGACCCAAGTCACACTCAAGGCGTTGCGGACAGACACTCAGACACTTCTTGGCTCGATTTCAGACTTCAGGCCAAAGACAAATCCACCCTCAATTAGTTGTCGAGTGCTCTGGCAAGATGCCGTTTGGATTACACTTTGTGTCAAGTTGGTCCTATTGCTGTTATTCCTTGTAATTTTCATGTTCCTTTGTTGATTTTTGTATTATTTTCAGCATTTCATTTACATGCTCGTTATGAGTTTTGGCCACAAATTAGCTTTTTGTTTTGTTTTTATGGCAAAGACGTTTCTGATTGTCCACAGACACATTTCTTATTGGCATTTCCGGCGAGGCAGTTGCAGTCAAAGTTTTCGTAGCATATTTTCTGGGGCCGGATAATTTATGTTTAAGCGAGTGGAAAGTGTTCATATTTCTTGCTTTCCCCATTTATGACTTGCTCGTCCTGTTGATTTATCTTATCGGCAGAGCAAACTAGCGAGCTAGCTCTTGATAAACTTCCAGTGCAGTCAGTATCTTATCAATTGATTCTGAATATATTGACTTTAATTGTTGATATACTTTTATTCGTGGCAAGCATCGGTTTTATCTGCTGGTCACCCTTTGGGCAAATAAATGCGCGCCCTATTCTAGTGTCATGCAAATAGGGCTCACTATTTCCAGCACTCGCTATGTTTACATTTGCGGCAATCTTATCTGCCTAGTCATAGCCGCTATGCTAGTCACATTTCCATTTACGAGTATTTCATTTTATTCACATAATTTATGTGCGACCTGTTACTCGAACTTTTGTTTTCTTTTTTCCCGTGCCTGCTACCCTTTTCATTTCCGCTTGCTTAACGAATTAAACGCCCTACTTCCGCTGCCAATACAGGTAGTTCCAATAAGTTCTTAGCCAATTGCCAACCCTAAGCAATGTTCCCACCAAATACAAATTCGAAGGCGCCCCCTCTTAACGGAATTTCCCGGATATTGTTATGTGCAGGCGCTGAGAACGCCTTTTTCCTTCCGCTGCTTTACGCCTACGCTGCATTTCTACAATTTCTTGTTGTTGTAGTTATTGTTGTTCGGTAGTTTACAAATTTCGAAAAGTGCAAAATGATTGCGGTTTCATGTTAAGCACCCCCCTGCACCTCACACACCCCAACCCTTTACGTAATTTAATGCGACGTCAACACGCAAGGCGAAAAAAAGCGCTGAAAGCATGTCAAACTGTACGGTTGTGGAGCAATTGTACAGTTTTAGGGTGCATTACATTTTACGTAAGACTTGTTTTTTGGTAGAATTTATTATTTAATTTTATTATTTATTTATTTTTATTAGTTTATTACGTAATTTATTTGACCATTATGTCCTAACCATGAAGAAGTGATGCAGAACGATTTTCAAAATGTAGTTTGGAAAACATTTTGAGACCGACAATTTATTGCTCTAACTTGTTGCTTAGAAAGGGCCACAGTTGTGAACTATACGACCAGGTATTCAAGTGTGAAATATTTATTTCATAATTCATGATTTTTCTTATCAACTGTGTCTCTTCTGCTCCTGCTACATTGTCTATTTAATTGTTTCGAGGCGAGATCTGACTAGCTGTGAAAAGAGTCATAAAATCATTTCCCTCGAGTCGAAGGTCTGCTTGCTTTCACATAAGTATAAGAATCATATTCATTAGTGTTATGTACACATTTAAAAAGTTCGATTAAAACTATGAGGCAATGGAAATAGTAACCGTTACTATCTAATCGTCTTTCATAAAACTATTTTGATTGAGGAATCGGATTTAAAGCAACCGAACTGTCTTAACAAAAATACAGCATTGCAGAAGGAAGTATCTAGTTTATTTAATCAGACTACTCTCTTCTTAGACCATTTATAATAAAATGAAGCTGTTTTTTTCCATTTGAAAATCATGCCCTAAAAACGACCTAGGAAACATTTAACTCCTCTTTAGATATGAATAATTCATCATGTTTGAAATTTCTTACCTTGTTACCTCAGTTTTCAAAAGCATTCTGAAAATTACAAGTCGCGTGTTTTCTAATATTTATCGCAAGCCATCAAATTTGTTCTAAACGTGTATTTATTATATATAATAATTTGTATTTTCTATATAAAATATATATAAATGTATATATGAGGGTATACACATATATGAATGGGGGGTGCCAACTATTTAAAAAAAGAGAGCTACTATCACTTACAGATCTGAAGAAGAATTAACAATTTTTATGTCTGATAGTTTCCAATAGTTTTAGTTTTTTTTCCAATTTTTCTTCGTGTTTTGCTTTGTACTTTCATGCTAGTAACTTTCGATAGACACTGCAGCAATTGTTGTTGAGTTTGGATGCTCCTCGCGACTACTTTGTCAAGTTCTTGCGCTGCTCGGAGGCATCCTTCTCATGCAAGTAGATGACGCGTCGGCCGAAGCGCGCTGTCAGCTTGGAGAAGAAGCCGACGCGCGAGGCTGGTTTGGTATCATCGGCGGATAGTGGAGGCCCTTGGTAATTGTCCTCCTCACAGCCCACAGCGGTGCCACGCCCATGCTTGCTGCTACGCCCTTGGCCGAAGTGGAAGGTGGCACGCGCCACATTGTTGCGTGTGAATGGCTTCTCGGAAGACCTGTTGTCTGTGGCAAGGGGGGCTGCGGTGGCGGAGTTTGTGGCGCCCAAAGCAGTGGTTGTGGCTGGGTCAGCGGTCAACCCCGTCGCCTGCCCGCTGGCCGCATGAAGACGCTCCAGCAAATTTGCGTCCACGGGCGGCGACGCCTTGGGCAGCACAGGATCGGCCTTTTCGTACAGAGTTGTCGGCCTCCGCGCCGAACTGGGAGTCGCCTGATGGTGGTAACGGGAGGGAGTGTTGGCCATTTTTTGTGCCTGCGCCAGCTGCCGCTGCGCACTGAGCAGCGTGGGCTTCACATCGACGCTTGTGACACGCTTGCTCTGTGGAGTTAGGGGCGAGCAGGCTCGCGACATAAGGTCTGTGCGAAGGTTGGCTGTTTTGTGCGTAGAGCGGCGTGTGGGCTTGGCAGGTGGCACACCCCCACTTGACCCTGTAGCTATCGGCGTAGCTGTCGTTCGAGGCGAGGCTACAGATGTGGCATGAATTGAGTTGGCCACACGCGGCGCTATCGGGCGACTACTCTGCAGCAGGCTCTTCTCCTCAGGCAGCGTGATAGTTGTGGTCGTCACATTGGTGGGATTTGGGCGAGAATCCTGCGGCCCACTCTTGGGCTTGGGCACGCCTAGGAGCATGTATGTGCAGTAGATGTCGTCGAAGAGCTGCCCTATGATGGATGCTTCGACGACGCCTCGTTTGTAGCCCATGTTCACTAACATCTCCACACGTATAGCATCGTCCAGCTCCATGGGTTTCTCGCGATAGGCGCGCAGCTGGTCCGTCTCGTCGTAGCCCGTGTTTATCCACTTGTCCGACATCACTGCAGTGAGTGTAGTGCGCTTGGCTGGATTGAGAACCAGAAACTTACGCATCAGCTGTTCGCAGTCCATGGATATATAGTAAGGCACGCGGTACTTTCCGCGCAACACGCGCTCTCGCAGCTCCTTCAGTGTGCCGCCATCGAAGGGCAGCGAGCCGCTGACCAGCGTGTAGAGCACCACACCCAGCGACCAGGCATCCACCTCTGGGCCCGCATACTTGCGACCCATAAAGAGTTCGGGGGCCGCATACGGGGGACTGCCACAGAAGGTCTCGAGCTGTGACTTGGGATCGTAGGTGTTGCCGAACCCAAAATCCGCAATCTTTATGTTCATGTTCTGATCCAACAACAGATTCTCGGCCTTCAAATCACGATGCACCACAAATTTACTGTGACAATACTGAATTGCAGAGACGAGCTGACGAAAAATCACGCGTGCGTCGCGCTCACGCATACGTCCATTCTTAACCAGATGGTCGAAGAGCTCGCCACGACTGGCATACTCCATGACAAGATACAGTGTGCGTTCCGACTCGATCACCTGAAAGAGCCGCACTATGTTCGGATGATTCAGCAGCTTCATGATCCGCACCTCTCGGTACAGCTTCTGCTTCGCGCTGCTGTTCAATTGGGTCTTGTCGATCACCTTAATGGCCACCTCGCGACCCGTCGGCACGTGCAGGGCCAACTTGACTTTGGCGAAGTTGCCCTTGCCCAGGGTCTTGATGATCTTGTAGACACCATTGCCACTGCCAGTGCTGCTGCTGCCGTTGCCAGTGCCACTGACGAAGGTGGGGAACTTGAGCTCCGTGCTGCTTGCATCGGGCGAGTCTGGACCCGTTAGTACCGCCGTTTTGCGGCTCGGCGTCGCTGGCTCGGCTTTGGTGCCCGTTGTCGTTATTGTTGCGCCAGTCGTGGCTAGGGTTATTGTCTCCTTCGGGGCTTCTCCTGTTGTTGCTGTTGTTTTTGTGGTTTTAGTCCCGAAGTTTTCCTTCTCGGACGTTTTAAAATTTTTTTTGGATTTTTCGTCTCCCGTATTTTCACTTGCCAAACTAAATTCTACAATTTCCAGGCGATTATCAGACATTTTTACTACAAATTTTTCGTTTCGGGATATTTTTGATCAATGAGATCCGCAGGAAGCCCTCTCAGCCCCCAAAAGGCAAGCAAACTAGCAGTCTATAGAAATGGTCGTAACCCGCAAATTTCAGCGCATGCCGCGCACGCGCCCAGTATGAATAATTTCTTGTTCTTCTTCTGGCATACGAGTACAAGAGTACAACCCCCCTCAAGGCGTCGTCCTGCCGTTCGTTCGCTCGTCGTTTTAATCGTTACCTTTGCACATCTGCTCTTTTTCGTACGACGCTCCGTTCACCCTCCAAAAAAAAAAAAGCTTCAAGATAAGAGCTGGTCGCGTGTTCAGTTTCTAACCCTCAACATCGGCAATGCGTGGCCGATAAGCAGTTCGTCCTCGCAGGATCGCTTTGTGTTCTGCCTTCCCTGCCCTCTTCACTCGCTTACTGCGACAGTCACTCAGTCAGTCAGACAGTCAGCCAGACGTGCATTTTAGTTTACCAACCGCATGAGTTTGAACTTCTTTGGAAATTGTACACGGCGCTAGCAACCCCCTCGACATTGGCTCTTTATAGGCGCAGGCTTAATGCTTCATATGGCACGAGCGAACCTTTTATGATCGTCGTCGTCTGTCCGACGTTGCCGATTTGATCGAGCTGGGCTATTGTTGTTGTTGTTGCTGTTTTATTGGAGTTGCCTTTATTTGCAGCCGGATTGTTGTTTACTGTCGACAACTTCGAGATAGGTAGCAGCTGCATTCTGGAAAAGGGAGCAACAAGGATTTTTATTAGCAGGTGACACTCTTGGCATAACTAATAAAGGGACTTGTAATAAAGTGTTAGGTCGAAGGAAATAAACTAATGATAGGCAATGAAAATGTTATCTTAAGAAACACTTCTAGTTTTTGTTTAGCGATTAACGTTAACAATATTTGTGTCTGGCAAATCAATTTCCGGTTTATTCATATACATAATAAATGTATGCATAAACGATAGTCCTACATAAGGCGCTAACTTCAATAGTCATTAAATGGGGAAATATATACATATGTTACATATCTGTACATCGGGTGAAACACGAGATACATATGTATGTATAAACGATAGCCCCACATAAGGAGTTAGGTACAGCAAAAGCTCCCTTAATGGACTCTTCGGCGGACACTTTTTCTAAAACATTCGATCGGTGTATAAAGAATTTAAATATCCCCTTAAGCGGACTAAAATTGGCCCACCGTGAGTGTCCGGCCAAGAGAGTTTTCACTGCACATATGCTTATTGCATATCTGTATATCGGGTGTTCTTCATCCAAACACACATACTCTCTTTCTTTAAACGCTTTTGAAGATCAAACTGCTTTTGATGCCACACATGTTTATGTGAGTAGTATTTTAAATGTATTTTTGATAGCATTTTGTGATGTAGCAGAAGCCTACTATTCTCATGCTTTCCAACATGTTTTCTAAAAATATCCTTTGATGTAGTAAATGTCTTCTATTGCCTGCAACCTCATACACTTGCTTCAATCTCTTCACTTGCATGTTCAATTAACTTTGCCTCACTGTGCTCACCACATGACAGTCCAGTCAATAAGGAGAGTGAGAATCGCTCTCAGCTCGCTCAGTTCAGTCTAACATAATGCCCGCTTTTGTTGGCTCATTTATTTTCTTAGTTTCTTTTTTGCACCTCAGCTTCGCTCGCATATCCTGCACGATCTACGTTTGCGCTGCCTACCTAAGCTAACAAACTACCCGCGTCACTTTTCGACCACTTCCAGAACTAATGACTACCCAAAAATTAAAACCCGACTGTGCAACAACAACAACAACGACGACGACAACAAAGAACTGGTCCTTAATCTCCCTTTTCTTTTGGCCTGCTCGTTCGCCCTATGTAACCATTTCTCGTACTCTGCTTTGCGCTCGCACATGTGCGCGTCCTGGCTGCCTGACAGCCTGGCGGCCTGCTTTGCCTGCGTGTCCTTGAGCCTGCTTACTTGTTTTGTTGCCATTGTTGTTGTTGCTGTTTTCCTCTCGTTCCCTTACTATTTTATTTTTCTCGAGCCTTGCAACTCACATCATCCCTGTCTCTGCTCCTAACTGACTTGCTTATTTTTATTTTTTTGTTGCATGCAGCGGCATTGTCGTCTGCTCTTTTCCTCCTTTTTACATCTTTCGCTGCCCGGCTGTGCTCCTTTTTTCAACTGAGTGTGTAAGTGTGTGTGTGTGTGTGTGTTTGTGTGAAATAATTAAATTGCAGCTGCCTCTTTTGTGATCGTATTTTTCCTTTCCTTGTGCCTGCACAAATGTTATTGTGTGCAAAAATTTGCAATAACAACAAGTCGCAATACATCTCCAATATTTATCTATGAATTCGAGGTCCGACTCTGTGTTTATGGACTTGCATTGCATTAATTGTTTATTCAATTTTCCAATGAATATGAGTACGTAAGCCCACATAATCGCTGAAACTATTTCCGTGCATTAGATGCCTGTCCATTGAGAGTGAATTCTTTTCCCTTGCACATTGATAAAATTTCAGTTTTACTGCAAATTCAAATCATTCTTTAATCCAAACAACAGAGCTGCTCGCAGCTGCAGCTTTAGCTCCAAGTTCATTGCACCCTGGCCTTTGGGGGGACCCATGCCTGCCTCTTACCCCCTCAGTTACGCATACAACATCAAGCCAAGTGAGCAAGTGTCGTCGTCATCGTCGTCGTCGTCGTCGTCTTGGTCGTCACGTCTTCTTCTTCTTCTTCTTGTTCTTGTTCATTGGCTTGTTTACAAATGTTCTGGTTCCCTCACCATGGGTCTTTTAGCGCCCTCTTCTTCACTTCTATTTTGATTCTCTTGTTTTCCACATTGTCCATTCCACTCTCTGCTTGCTCTCTCGCTTTCCTGCCCTCCCCACTCTCTCCTTTCCACTCATCTTTTCTTGATCTTTGGCTCGTGTTGTATTACTGAGTCATCGTACAAGGAAATCGTCTGTCTCTCTGGCTGCAACTCAAGACGCCAGATAAGCGCTTTGTGTCGTCCACACACTTTAGTTTAGCACACTTTTCTACTTTTCCTTCAATTTCATTTCATTAATTCTGTCATTGTCTATACACACACACACACACACACACTCTCATTAGCCTCTCTACATAATTGTTTTATTGTGTATACTTTAACACTGTGCTTCTTGAGCACTTTGCTCCGTTCAATGCCATTCAAATTGTGAATTCCCTCTAGATTGCATGCGTCGTTTATTAATGAAACGCCTCTTTAATTGCCAAGAAAGAAAAATAAAAAACGCCCACTTAAAACAATAAACATCGAGAAATCAAGACCACAACGGAGAAGAGTCCGTTCAGTTCGATCCCCATGGACTGCGCTTATCTCGACTGAATTGAAAAAGTACCAGAAACCCAGATAATTACACTCTGTTACTTACAAACAGCAGACGCGTTCCCCCGACAGTAATCGAAAACAAATTAGAGTTAATCCACATGCGCAGGGTCGTCCGAAATGCGAAATCCGAGATCCCAAATAGAAATTGCTCTGCGCATCCGCCTCGATGGCTGATGGCTTGGCTTCTTGGCGTGCGCTCAACGAACTTCAAGATACAAAACGCGTCGTTGTACTGAAGCGCAGCCCGAATCGTGAGAAGTGCCCAGACCAGGTCTTCGTTGTCGTGGTCTCTTCTTTTCTTATGCTCACACAACATTCTTATGCTCTTTCGCTCATCATTTGGCTCTCTTCCCATTCCACGCTCATTCCCTTATTCTTTGCATCGGATCGTTCGTCGACGGCCTGTAAATAGTGGTCTGAAGGTCGTTCTGTTTCCTTCAGCAATTTCTTGAGGCGTGACGTCACAGGTAGATACGCTACCGATAGCGACAGAAAACCATCACCATCACCATCTTCGTCATAATCATCATCATCATCATCATCGTCGTGATGAACGTCATTGCCGAAGCGAACGGCCACAACAAAGGCGCAAGTTCGGCTCATTTCGTATCGGCTGCGTCGCCTGCCCCTGCCTCTGTCTCCGTCACCGTCTCTGCCGCTGTCGCTGCCTTCCGACAAGTTTCTGCGGCGAATTTGTCGTCAATTTGCTTTGTAGTGGTCGACAGCCGAACGTCTTCTCCTTCAGTTCGGTCGTCGTTGGTGTGAGTTTTCTTGGGCTTGTTGCTGGTGGTAGTTTCGCCTCTATAATGCCGACTCTTTCTAATTGTGCGTGTGTGTGTGCGTGCAACTTGAAGTTTTCTTATTCGCTGTCGCTGTCGAGTCGCCTTTGTACATATCTTATCGTTCCATCGCTCCATCAATTTGTAGGTGTTCTCTGTTCTTACTGGACTGCCATAGGGAGTTACACGACGCACCAATAAGAATGTGGCATGCGATTACAATTACCAAAATAATAAATCATTAATAGCTTCTTCTACAAGTAAAGTTACTAGCAAGAATAAAATCTCAATCAGTCAAATAATTAAATATTTCAGTAGCATTAAGCATACTACTTGTACTTCTTTTTAGCAGCAGCTCTATTGATTCTACTTAGGATAATAGTATTGTCAGAAGGAAAAGCTGAAGTTCTAAATGCAAAAATTATTATTACAGTATTATTTATTTATTTAAATGCATATTAACTAATTTGTTTGTCCACATTTTCAAATTCGTCGCCTATATTTTATTACAAATAAAGTCAACAATTACAGTTCAGTGCAACAAACAATTGATTCCTTGCGTTATAAACAGTTTATAAGTGGCAGATAATATGTATTTATTTATTCAAGTCTTAAAAATATTTAAAATCTTTGCTGAAGTTACTCTTTATAAGTTGGCACTTAACGCATACCAGTGTCAGCTTCGATTATATACATATTTATGGTAATATAGTATATCCAGCATTTCGATAGAACTCTTGTCCACTAGTGACCATCTTTTCCTTCCTTTCCATCTTTTCCTATCACTGAACATAAATTGCAGCAAGAAGCAAGAGCTTGGCTCTTTAAAGAAATTGTTAAGTGATTTTTGTAAGTTTTCTCTGCATCTTCTTAAAGTTGTTTGCCCTCAAGTCATACCCAAATAGGCGCCCACTACTTCCCTCTGCCCCGGTCACTCTCGCAAAGAGACAATGCGCTGTAACAAAAGCAAAAGCAGTTTGATTAAAAAACATTGAGCTCCAACTTGGCATCACAATAATAAAATGCATTTCTTTTGGCTACAATATTTTTCTCATTTGCTTGCAAAAAGGAAA